GTTGAATTTAGTTGATTATAGTGATTCTGTGACATTTGGTGATGTCTTAATACTAATACTGATGAATCTTTGACCAGACGAATACTTCACAACAGTGCACCAATGCCTCATGATATTTCCATTGAAGCCATTGATCTGATTAAAAAGTTATTACAAAAAGATCCAAAGGCRCGTCTTGGTGCAAAAGGTGCACATGAAATTAAAAAGCATGTTTTCTTTAAGGTAAGGTCAAGGAATGATGTACAATCGTGTGGTACTTAGTAAATATCTTTATCTGTGAAACACTATTGTCATAAGACACTATTTGGTGCAAATGCATGGTTCATGTGCAGTTTTCAGTTAAGGATATCRGGGGTACTTAATGGCATTTTTATGTTTTGTTTAATCACTGCTGATTAATATTTATCGGTATCAGTAACTGTAATTATCATCAAGTGTCGACATACTCATATTACTGTTGCTTTTGAATATAATTTTAGTTTTCCATTAGTCTGCATGTAAAAAAGAATTTAATTTTGATGTCAAAGTATCTAGGAAATTGGTTCATGGCGTCATTCTAAGAAACCTTTGTCTCTTTTCTAGAAAATAGACTGGGATGACTTGGCAGCAAAGAAAATCCCAGCACCATTCAAACCAAGAATAACAAATGAACTAGATACTAGTAATTTTTCTGATGAGTTCACAGAACTGGCACCATTGTATTCTCCTGCTGCTGTACCTAAAACTGCTGACAGAGTGTTCAGGGTAAGAGAAGGSCTGTATAGGAAMATGGACAAACTGATTTTTAGGGTATYTTTGAGAATTTTCCCTAAATTGAACTAGTCCTCAAAAATTGTTTATATTTCCTGTGAGTGAAAAGTTTGAGAATATGTTTTAAGCTTGTATCTATTTACAATGAAAAGTCAAGCAAATCTGTACATCAACTAGAATTTTCTAGGCTCTKGGCATAATAAAACCTTGGTAGCACAGCTCTCAGTTGGAAGATTGTTTTTCTGTTTTCAAAACATAGCATAGAATAAGCTCAAAAATACAAAGTCATAATTATATGCTAAATCAGCAGAATTTGTCTTGTGCAGGATGGCACAACAGTTTGTAAAAGACAGAATCAGATTGTAGTTGAACGACATCAAATTAAAATTACAAACATATTGACTAAGTGTTCAAATAAGTTAAAAATGTCAAATTGTGCTGGCTGATGAGTAACCTGGGGTATAGAAACTAGTGTCATTGTTGCTAGGATAATGTGGCTATGGTAGCTAAACMCTGTCATTCTTTGAATTATGGCTAGCCTATCTGAAAAATGGACTTACAATTCACCCAAAAAGAAATTAGGGCTGACTAGCGTCAGATGCAATAAAATGATAAATTATAAACCGTATATTGTTAATAATTTGTAATTCTAATGACAACTTTGGTATTTCAGGGTTATTCCTTTGTTGCGCCATCAATAATTTTTGGCGAAAATGAAATTTCATCACAATCTAGTCAACCTGCACAAGGACTAGTCGACTATGCTGCAATGTTTGAAGTAAGTGTTGAGAATGCAACCTGTCAATTCCTGCAATTCTTAATYGCCATGCATTATGTCTAGTTATCTAATTTTTGTTTTGTATACCATAGGGATCCCATTTCTTCCAAAACTTTAGAGTAACAAGTGAAGTTCTTGGAGATGGTAGCTTTTCTACTTGCAGGTAATTGGTGGCACAATGCATTTCTATCTAGTTAGAATGATCAGTTGACTATAATTTGAAGAKAAAATAGWGATGGTCACCCATCAGGTAGTAACCAATAGCTCACTTCACTCTGAAAAACAAATACGTCAGTAAGTGTTGTCTTCATTTTTCTGCAGACGATGTGTTCATTTAAGAACTGGTTTAAATTATGCTGTTAAAATTATAAGCAGAAGGTATGTCAAAATTATGAACATAAAGAATCATAAGCGTGAGGTCTCATAATATTATCAAGCAATGAAAATGAAGAGAAAGTGTCAAAAAAGAAGAGAAAAATGAAAAAGGCCAAAAGTAGAATGACTAAAATGAGACTGAAAACATATATGACYATTTCATTCCAGATGTGATCCCAAAAGGGAAATACAGTCTTTAAAGTTATGTCAAGGTCATCCTAATATTGTTACATTGTATGAAGTCTACCAAGATGATGTGAGTATTCCTCTTCAACAAAAAAATCAATGAATTTAATAATATTCAAAAGGCACATCAGAGTTTTTCCCCAAAGATTAATACAAATTAATTCAGAATTTGGCAAGTTATGTTTATAATGGTGCTTGAAATAAGATTAAACATTACATCATGGTAAAAAGTATGAGAAAAAAAACAGACATTCTTCCATTGAAGGAAAGGAATGAAAGTGATAATTTAGATGGTTTTTCTTGTTTAGTTTCACACCTACCTAGTCCTGGAACTACTTTCTGGAGGAGAGCTTTTAGAGAAAATCAGAAAAAAGAAAACATTTACTGAGTCAGCTGCWAGTGTTATAATGGAACAGTTAGTGCGTGCTGTGGAATATATGCACCAGAAGGGTGTGGTTCATCGGGATCTAAAGCCAGAGGTATYACACATGCTAATTTSTGCAATAGTCTGTCAAAAGATATGATTGTCTTCTAAAAATTAAAATAATTCCAGTAAAGTTAATGAAAACTCTTACTTATGATTATCAATTGAAAAACCAGGACCAATGAATCAAGCAAACTTAGATTATTGACTCTGTATTTTCTCTCTAGAATGTGTTGTTTGTCAATAATTCAGAAGAGGCTGCTGTAAAACTGGTAGACTTTGGCTTTGCTTGCTTGAAACCTGAAAACCACCCAATGAAGACACCATGTTTTACTGTRAATTATGCTGCGCCTGAGGTGCTAGATCAGACCATAGACCGCACTGGTTATGACGAGTCATGTGATCTCTGGAGCTTAGGTGTCATTTTGGTAAGACCATTAAATTAATGAAAATTTATCATGATTGAACTCTTTTCCCTAATTGTATTTTTTATTTATTGTATTTATCACTCAAATTTGGATTAAAACCAAGTTAAAAGTAACTTTATGCTGATTGTACAAAATCACAGTAACTTGAAGAAAACTTCTGCATTCAGAAATCCTGATAATTTAATCAGCTACAGTCTACTATAATTTAATCAGCTACAGTCTACTATAAATCTAAAATAGTCTTTTGCTCTGTATTCCTAGAAGTAAAATAGTGCCTGCCTCTAAACTAATTATTTTCAAGTTTTTTTATATTTTCATTTGTTTTCATGCTGATAAAATATTATGCAATGCACTTTACTGTGGGTGATGCTGAGTTTTTGTTTTCTGTTTGTTTATAACAATTTAGTACACAATGTTATCTGGACAAGTACCATTCCAAAGCAGTGGTAGCTGGTATCGATCATCTGCTGGCTTTGTGATGAAGAGAATTACGCAGGGTGATATACGGTTTGAAGGCCAACCATGGCAGACAATATCCCCACAAGCTAAAAATCTTATTCAAGGTAATAATAAAGTTTAGTTCAACCAAAATGTTAAAAAATTTATATAATTATAAGTTCAGCAATTTTGGTTTAAAATGAAAGATAAGACTTAGTTAATATTTAATCATATAATTTTTTTTATATATTAAGTAATAAAAATAAATTGAAAAAGATCATTCAAATTTCATAATCATCCAAACTTTGCAACAAAGCCCCGAAAMATCAAATGAATAAGAAACACAAGACATTTGTCACTGATGCTATTCATGGCAATTATCCACAGCCTTGGACTGCACAGTAATCAAGTATTTTTTAAATTTATCTTATTAGTGTTAATGGAATTTGGTAGGAATTTTGATAAATTTCGGCTTTTAAAAATKCAATAAACAAGTTTCATGCCTGACATCAGTGATTTTTGGTCTCCACACTTGTCAAGGGCTTCTAATCTGTGGAACAAGACATTCCCCCCCCCCTAAAAAAAAGGGCACTTCTTTTTTTTTTCAAGTTTAGAGACATCCTTCCTACTATCTCAATGTTGTCTAGTCTAGAATAATGCATTACTTGGTAAGTTATTGAATAATGAATCTGTTGACTTAAAGGTCTTTTAACTGTGGATCCTCAACAAAGACTAACAATTCAAGAGGTTCTACACCACAGTTGGTTGACAGGGGGGTCACAGCTCCCTCACACACCACTTATGACACCTGGAGTGTTGGGGCGAGCCCACAAACGAACTTATGTTGAGTCAGCATTAAATGTTACTTATGATGCATTCAACAAAGCACAACGTCAGGGATTTACATTAATGGATGTGGAAAATGCTCCACTCGCAAAACGAAGAAAACTTAAGAAGACAACATCAAGTGACAGTCATTCAACGACAAGCACTTGCAGTGAACAAAGTAACTCAGGAGGACTTTCTCCTGTACAAAACAATAGATGACAATTGATATATTTTTATTGGACGGCATGGTTTAGCCATGTCAACTCTSTTCTCCATGGCAGCTGAGTGCACAAACAAAGTGTTCATCAAATGTTATGCAAATTAAATCACACAAAGCAATTATAATTATTTGAGTTTCTGTAGAAACAGAAAAATGCATTGTAAAATAGTGTATAATTTATTAGGTAATTTTAACATACTAGCTATTTCTTCTGCTTTATTATAATTAGATGTCCCTAATCTTTTTAAGCAATTGACTCTCTGATTGGCTTAGACAAGCAGTGTCGATAAGTATGTGCACCCAGCTTTAACTATAGTTCATGTCTAGTACTGATGGCAAATTATAACTGCACACAGCCTGTGCAACAAACGCGGCAGCTAGTTGATTTTTCACTTTATCAAAATTATAGATAAAAAGTCTTCCTTTGAGAAGGATTTTCCACAAATATTATATAAATTATGTGCCCATCCCATRTTTAGGAAAATATTCATTTCATCTTCATTCTTGTGCTGCCAAAATGAAATTCAATTGTAAAAATTTTAGTWATGTTTTAAACTGGATTCAATTAATAGTAGAAATGAGCATGTCTGTGGTTTCATAATTGATTATTTTATGGTATTCTGTTGGTAGGTGGTAGTCTTAGATGTATAAAACTATATGACCACTTAAAACAGTTCTTTTTTAAAAAGKTTTGTCATGCAATTCTTGGTCCAGATAAGTTTTTTTCCAATCAGCAGTAATTGGTGTTYTCCATGCTGCAGTCTGATCCTAATGAACCTTCTCCTAGCAAAACCAGCCTAACATCAACACACTTTCAATAACTGCAAGTYGAGTGACAATGCATAAAAGAATCTAAAATGTTCATTGTTTCCCAGTAGCCTTGTTGCCAATACTCCATTTCACAGTCCCAGTGCATTGTTAAAAGTTAGCTGAGACAGATGTTGAGCTTGCAATGATAGATAACTGTGAACTTTTAAAGGTATCTATCAATGCAAGCTCAACTCCTGTCTTGTTCTGCTGTAAATGCTCAGCTACACTACAGTTTATTAAACTTMTGTGCTTTTGCAGCACATAAGTTTAATAAACTTACACCTATTTGAGACATTTGTACTTCTTGGAAATAGAGAAAATAGGAGGGGAGGAKGGGGGTTTAGGTTGATCTCAATCTTTAAGAGTAAAGAATGACTATTCCATAGGTAGGTGCTCTTCAGCAAAATCTATTCCTCAAAAAAAATAAAAAAACAACAACAAGAAACAACAAAACAGCTTAGTTGTTTTATTCAGTCTCATCTAGAAGTGATACATYACTTGTTGACCGTCATTCATCCGTGATAGCCATTTGATTTCTGAAATGGTACTTAGTGTTTGAATGGAATCTCTAAACTGGAAGAATGGTCAGTATTGGGGTAATTCTGACTGTCATCCGATGACAAACTCTTCCTATACTACAGGTGTTAATCGAATCRAACTTTGATTGGTTCATGCCCAGTTTCCTTTACAAACTTGATAAAGTCATCAGGAGACATGCCTGTACTGGCTGTGTTAACCATTGGATGAAAATACACCATGTTGTGTTTCGATGAATCTATCAGTTCCTCGTCTAATAYAAGCTTAACTTCGCTCTTTACATCATTAAACACCGAGTAGGCCGTAGCACAACCCTGGCCTACTCCAAGCTTSTCCAACATAATGGCTTCGTCTGCAAATCGAAATCCYCCTGGAGCTCCAACTCTTTTAGCTAAATCAGTTAAATTGATTTCTCTGGTGGCTACTGCACAAATAAGCCACAGGCCTTTCTTCTTTTTGTCTTTCAGAAAAAGGTTTTTACCAACGACACCGTCCGCTTCACCTAAGTAAGGCATCATGGCTTCMACAGTGAACACCTCTGGATGCTCGATTGTATGGGTCTTGATCTCAAGTTTCTTAAGGACTTCTTCGAGTTCTTTTCTTCCACCAGCCATCTTGGTTACTAAAGTACAGAACGATCTTCCTATGTAGCTAGCAATGTTCGAAATCTTGAGAAATCACACGTGTGCTACCACCATGCACGCACCATGTACTACCATGTATTGGTCAGACAACACAGGAAACCCAAACAATGTGTTGRTAATGACTGAATTAAAGTTATATCATTTCTTCTTCTTCTCATCGGAAAAACAGCTCGTTTCAGCAATTTAATCAAAAATAAAGTAAGAATGGAAAAGGTTATGTTATATAGCCGTKWTAGGTCCCTTTTCATAGACAAAATTRYACCCTGGACCCCACAGCAGTTCTTGTCCCRGACTGTAATGCACGTTCCACGTGACCATCATGGCGTGTTTATCTCGAGTAAGGGCACCTACTCTTCGACGAGCTACCATCTCCTTCTACAGGAGAGCATCATCATTTTTTAACGATGATTACAACCCTCCTAGGCTAAGCTATGTATCACCTGAAAATGATGTGCATTATGACCACAGCTTGAAGGATCCAGAGACATTTTGGGGACAACTTGGAGCAACACGTCTGCAGTGGCAAAAGCACTTTGATAGAGTAATGGACTGCAATATGCACGAGGGACGGCATAAATGGTTCTTGGGTGGACAGCTAAATGTTTCAGGTATAATTTTTGTATTTCGCTTTTTGACTGTACTATTTACATTGGGAGTGTACACATTGGTGTCTCCTGCTACACAAACTTTTAATTCTTTTAATCTAGTATATTAAGCTAATTGGATCAGTTTGATACCTTGATACACGGGCCTTCTGATTTRCACGTTATTTGAATACAAACTGTACATCATATCGGGTGGCAATTGTTTTATAAGCTGTAAACTTGTTGCGTCTTCGCATGTCTTCCGCGTTAACTTGATTACGTGGAAATCACAAAGGCCAAAATGATTGTACTATGTTTATATTAGTTCAATCACATGGAACTAGCGAAACATGAAACCTATGTTTCTGCAAATGATAATTAGTAATGGAAATATTTTATTGGGTAAAAAAAAACAACTTTCGGTCATCTACTTCAGCAATCCGGTTGTTGCGGTCAGTTCTTCTGGGTCCAGAGGAAATGCCCATACATACATGTACTGTAAAACATGCCAATAAAAATCATCAATGGCCACTTCTTTTTAGTATTACCATACTAGTGGACTATTGAAAATCCTTCGTTCTGATTGGCTACGCTACTCGGGGTCTATTTCCAATAGTCCGACTAGCGAAAAGCGACAACTTTCTTATGTGTTTTTAGCAATAAAAAATAGCCAGTTATTTGTATACCGTATTTACTCGAATAGACGCCACGGCGTTTATGTCATTTTTCACGGTCCAGGTGCGGCGTTTATTCGAGGGGCGGCGTTTATTGAAAAACACTTTATTCAGTACTACATACCGTACTTTATATTGTATATTTTTACTAACAAACAGTAACAATTCTCAATATATAAATGTTGTGCTCATTTTGTCGATTAAATTTGTGATAATGTTGTCCTCGTGGTCGGAATCTAACAGCTGCTGAGAGCAAAAAAAGTAGTCACTTCGAAATAAAAAAATTGCTGGTATCATTATTTTCGCACCCAGATGCGGCGTCTATTCGGGGCGGCGTCTAATAATATTTTGAGCTTTAAGAGGGCGGCGTCCATTCAGGGAAGGCGTCTATTCGAGTAAATACGGTATTTAATTCATTTTTTTTTTCCAACTAGTATGGTAATACTAAAACAATTAGATCTCTCAGCCTCGAGATCTAATTGTTAAATAGCGCAATTAACAAACAAGTTTAAAAATTGACTGATGTCTGAGTTCAAGAAAATAAAATATGATTTACTATGATTTCCAATAAAAAACAAAATGCTTCAGTTGTCTAAAACAACACTTAGAGATTAAAACACAGCTCTGTTCCTTTCTGTGCTTATTAAACTAGAACCCAGGCTTTGTATTTACTGTTTAGCATTCAATATACAATTTTATTTTGGTCCAGTATCCTAGTCATTTGCATGCTGTGACTGGCTAACGCGTGGTTTTCATGATCTGCCCGGTCCGACGGTATCCTGCAGCTAGGTTGCGAGCAAAGTTGCAGAAAATAATAAAAATAAATAAAAATGTTATTTAATGGCTATATATCTAGGTTGGTTCATAGGAAAACACTGCTCTCAGTTTTTTTACTGTCAATACATTGGCAGTGTTTTCCTATACGGACCTCCCATATTTTATAATAAAGTGATTATATATATAATAACAAAGAGGCAAGATTTGCTGTTAACTCCGAGTTTCATGCTACGCACTCATATGACAGTATTTATAACATCCCCCCCCCAAAAAAAAAGACAAGCTGTTTTTTCAATGAGTCCCCCAAAATAGAAATACCTTTTAAGAATGCTAGATATCCAAATATGAACTAGTTTAAAAAAAATTAACTGGTTTGAAAAAATCAAACCAGTTCAAAAATTTTTTAAATCATTTCAATCTCAAACAACATAATATAATTAGCTCCTATATTTGTATTGAGCACTTTTCATGGGATCAGCTACTTACTCATATGAAAAGTGATTATGTTGTAGAGAACTGTGTTGATCGTCATATGAGAGCTAACCCTAACCGTACTGCCCTTATATGGGAGAAAGATSAACCTGGTGATGTGGAGTACGTGTCATACATGTAAGTCACTTGATCAATATTTTGTATGACTTAGAGATACTGAAAACAAATAACATGCTGAAAAACAACCCTTCAGAATCACCCTTCTACAAGATGTCAAGGGACTGTTGGTGTTTTTTATAGGATAATAATTTTGCATGGCCCCACCCTGTGACATGGTTTTTGTCCCCCCCCCTATGTACAACTAATGTCAAAATTAATGATGTATCCAACCTATGTACCATTTTTCTAATAATRCATGATCTGTATTCCCACTGAACTAAATTCCCTTTTGAGAAAAGATTTCCAACTTGCTGTTTTTTTCTTCATTATCTGTGATGATTGTGATTAACCATCAATACCATTAATATCTTTGATGTTATTCTACAAAGAAAACAATAAACTGTTCTTTTACAGCCAGCTTTATGAGATGGTAAATCGCATGGCCAACATGTTTAAGAGTCATGGCATCACTAAGGGTAATATTGTATGTATCTACATGCCAGTCTCTCCGCTAGCAGTGGCTGCAATGCTGGCTTGTGCAAGAATAGGAGCTCCTCACAGGTACTTGAATAGACAATATCAGCCTGATTAGTAGCYCTTAGGGTACTTGGTCCTCCACGCTTCACTTTCTTATTGCCACTTGGCTGGTTTCCTGCCTATTTCAGYAATGCTAGGTTTTTTAGTGCACATTTCAATGCCATGCATGATAGTTCATATAAATATTCATGAGATAATTCAAAATGATTTTCTGCTGGAAAAAAACAAAATGATTTTCACTCTTGTTTTCACTGTGTGTTTTCAAACATGTTTTCATGAAAGCAGCAACAATGTTAGCAAAATCTGAACAAGGAGCTTAAAGCTAGGGAGATGATGTCAGGTTTCTACATACAGACCATCAATTATGCAGGAATGATGCTATTCTCTAAGAATTATAATCTGTACACAGGTTAGAGCTCCCAGAATACAGGGAAGTTGTGAGTAGGAGTGAGTGAGCTGAGATACAGATCAACAGAAGGCTTTGCTGTAAATTATAATGAAAGGAAATTAAGGAAGAATGAAGGTAGAAGTTTAGGTAATATTTTGGGAAGGAAAAATGGTAATGCGGACAACTTGGTAAATAAAATATTAAGTTAGTCTCTTAGTTAGATTTTATTAAATATGTGTTGTTTGYTATAGTGTTGTGTTTGCTGGATTCAGTGCTGATGCCTTAGCTAGTCGAATAAATGATGGTAAGATACCAAATAATTGGAAATCATAAGTATTAGTTTATTGAAATGTGTAAATGAAAACATGTTAACACAGTGTAAACACCACATATTTTCAACAATATTTTGAAATTATGTCAGTCAATTGTCCCTTAGAAACTAATACTGCATTTTCAAATTCAAACTGCAAATWACTTCTGTTATATTTGATAGTGGATTTTTGTTACGCAAAGGCCTTACCAAACACAAAAGAAAGCATGAGAAAATGTTGTACAATAGCGTTAACAATTTACATTTTCCCTGAGTTGAGGCTAACCCTGTATTCCCAGAAGGCTCACACCTTAGGTCTTATGGGAATACAGGGTTAGRCTCAACTTATTGTAATAATGACATTTTCTTGTGCTTTCTTTTGTGYTTGGTAAGATCTTTGCTCAAGAGAATCTGTTGTCAAATAATGCAGCAGTTGAGTGCTTTGAATACGAAAATGTAGTATTGACATTCTGAAAAGACATCTTTAAGGCTTTTAGGTTCTGAAGAAGATGTCTCAGTTAATTGTCAGGCTGGTGAAGAATATTTGTGTAGAGGAATTGCAGTGCAATTTGTTTGTGATGTTTTTACTCCAGCAACAGTTTGGCATCAAACTACAAAAAATATAGCCATGCAATGATCTTATACAACGCTCATTGGCTTGATTTGCTGTTTCTTATCCTCCAGCTCAAGCTGAGACTGTGATAACATCTGACCAGATAGTTCGCGGAGGAAAAGTATCAGAGCTGAAGAGAGTTGTGGATGATGCTGTCTCCAAAAGTCCYGGTGTAAAACGAGTGTTTGTTATGAAGCGTACTGGTGGTGATGTCCCTATGGGGAAACTTGACATACCTTTGGAAGAGGTACATTAACAATGTTAATACTGCAAAAACTGTGTTTTAGTATTTTTTTATGATTATACAATAATTTCCATTACAATGAATTCATCAATTGTAGGCTATGTCAGAACATTCTGTTGAATGTGAGCCAGAATCACTTGATAGTGAGGATCCCCTATTCTTGCTATATACATCTGGTAGTACAGGTCAACCCAAGGGCATTCTACATACCCAAGCTGGTTACCTACTCTATGCTAATCTCACCATGAAGGTATTATATGCTAATCTCACCATGAAGGTATTATATGCTAATCTCACCATGAAGGTATTATATGCTAATCTCACCATGAAGGTATTATATGCTAATCTCACCATGAAGGTATTATATGCTCTGCTCTTCTGTCAAATTAGTCTTGTAATCGTACATTTTGTACAATCAGTGTTCACCATGGCAACATTAAGAAAGCCTATGCATTTACAATTTGAAATGGTGCATAAGTGCACCAAATATGTCATTGATAAAACAACAAGATATCAACATGATGCAACATTTCTTAGCAATTAAATTGCTTTCATATTGAAATGAATAAAATAACCTGTTAAGTTGTGTTTGTAGTATTGTTTTGACTRTCAAGATGGTGACATATTTGGATGCGTMGCTGACATTGGTTGGATCACAGGGCACTCRTATGTAGTATATGGCCCCTTATCCAATGGGGCTACCAGCGTGCTGTTTGAAAGCACCCCAACATATCCTGACCCTGGTAGGTACTGGGATATGGTAGARMGACTCAGAATCAATCAGTTCTATGGCTCACCAACTGCTGTTCGACTGCTGCTAAAGTCAGGTGACTCATATGTGACAAAGTATGATCGATCATCYCTCAGGGTTCTTGGAACTGGTGAGTAATGTTGTTATTGAAAGATGCTGCTGTCATTATTGCTTCATCTATGATGTGCAATTGTTTGTGATTACTATCTATAATTTTGGCAGAGCGTTGTTTGAGTACTTTTATTGTTAAGTGACTTTATTGATGTGTCTTCACATGTCATTAGTCGGGGAACCAATCAACGACGAGGCGTGGCACTGGTATAATGATGTAGTTGGAGAGAAGCGATGCACTGTGGTCGACACTTGGTGGCAAACAGGTCAGCAAAGCAACAGGTTTCTTTGTATGTCAGTTAAAAAAATACAAAACACGACTGGCAACAATTACTAAGTAAGGAAATTCAGACAAACTGACAAGTTTTTTTTAACACTGCTATTCATAAGTAATGTTAGAAGGAATTGATTGTGAACAAGTGCCCTAGGGTAAAGAGTGTCATGATGAGCAGTCAACTGAAATGCTCGGATAAGAATGATAATTTATAAAATGAAATAAAATTAATGAAGTTTTCGACTAGAAGTCATCATCAGTTGTTATTATTATTTAGCCAAAACTGTTGATGATGTTTATAAGTACATTTTCTCCTGCAGAAACTGGTGGTATTCTAATCTCACCAAGACCTTCAGCTTATAAAGAACCCGTTAAACCGGAATTTCCTATGAGACCATTCTTTGGAGTAGAACCGGTTTTAGTTGATGAAAAGGTAATTAATGATGCAGGATCATTGTTGTCCATTGTCCACTAGTTGTGATAGTTAATAACTTGCAACCGGTTAAACAATCAAGTCTAAACAGTGAAGTTCATGCGTTGTTCTGTCTCCGCACCCAGTCAAATAGTTTGCAGGTTTTAGTCCGCTAATATGCAATTGCAGATTTTGAGCGTCTAGCTTTTGACATTCAGCAAGACTTGCGTTGTCTTTGTTGTCTTGGTACCTGCCGTGGTAACTGATTTCAAACTATTTGGCTGGCCTGAGTGTTTATTTACTAATAACGTGTTTSTATTGTTGTTTGTGTAGGGTAAAGAACTTAAAGGAAACAACGTCAAGGGAGCTTTGTGTTTCCGTTCATCAGTGCCTGGTATGTGTCGGTCAATTTATGGACATCATGAAAGATACCTTGACACTTACTACAGGCCCTACCCTGGTAAGTCATAATTTGCATGATATTTCTAACTACCCTACCCCGGTAAGAAAAGATATKCACATTATGACTTGGTTCACACCTACATAACTATTGACATAGAGGAGACGACTACAGGAACAACTGGTGCTTTTTTGCTTAACACAGGAATCCATTGAATAGAGTTTCAGAGGATGCTAATTGCAAGCATATCGCATAGAAACCAAACAATGTAAACTAGTGTTAAACCAGGACTATTGTACTTCCTTACCAAAGAAAGCAACAATATAGACATTATCTATCCCTACCCTACCCCTGTTGGTATTTATGTGTAGTGTATGCTTTCCAGGCTTTTACTTCACTGGTGATGGTGCTCTACGTGACATAGACGGCCACTATAGAATCACGGGTAGGATGGATGACGTCATTAATGTTAGTGGCAAGAGACTGGGGACAGCAGAAGTAGAAGATGCTATGGTAAGCATTGTTACACAATATATACACAATATAACCCTACCACACACAACACAACCCTACCATACACAATACAAACCTACCATACACTACACAACCCTACCACACACAATACAACCCTACCACACACAACACAACCCTACCACACACAATACAACCCTACCATAAACAACACAACCCTACCACACACAACACAACCCTACCACACACAACACAACACAACCACACACAACACAACACTCAAACAGCAAAATACTCCAGTGTTTTTGTGTTTTCTTCACTGGCAATCAACATGGTCAACATGGCATGAAATTAATTTTAGGACAATCATGAAGCAGTAGCGGAAACAGCTGTGGTTGGATTCCCGCATCCAGTCAAGGGCGAAGGTAAGCATGTCATGAATAAGTACTAGTGGAATTTGGAAAATCCGTGAAATTCGATACCAAAATTCAATGAGACAGAGTGTAGGGATAAGAGTAATAGCTCTGGCCAGTAGAGCTTCCCAAACAGGGATTCGAAATGTATGAAACGAAAGTTAGTGGAAAGTTAATCTAAATAACAATRTTTCTTAATCAAGGCAGAAACAAAAAAACCTGACTGTTCACACACACAATCTCATCTTGATTTTGGATAGTTCTTGATTGAAGGGCTTTTTAGGTGTAGGTGGTACATGCTGTCCTGCATTAAGAGTAACATAGTTTTGTTTAATACAGGAATTTATGCTTATGCGACCCTAAAAGACAACGCTGACATCACACCAGAACAGCTACGAGCAGATCTCAAACAGATTGTACGGGCTAAGATCGGGGCATTTGCAGTCCCTGAAATTATCCAGGTATTATGTTTAATTACTTTATTGGTCATTAATTATCCAGGTATTATGTTTTATACTTTATTGGTCATTAATTATCCAGGTATTATGTTTTATACTTTATTGGTCATTAATTATCCAGGTATTATGTTTTATACTTTATTGGTCATTAATTATCCAGGTATTATGTTTAATTACTTTATTGGTCATTAATTATCCAGGTATTATGTTTTATACTTTATTGGTCATTAATTATCCAGGTATTATGTTTAATTACTTTATTGGTCATTAATTATCCAGGTATTATGTTTTATACTTTATTGGTCATTAATTATCCAGGTATTATGTTTAATTACTTTATTGGTCATTAATTATCCAGGTATTATGTTTTATACTTTATTGGTCATTAATTATCCAGGTATTATGTTTTATACTTTATTGGTCATTATTTTGGTTTCTAATGAAATCATGCTGATGGTTTTCCAGGTAGTTCCAGGTCTCCCTAAGACGCGGTCAGGGAAGATTATGCGCCGTATTCTACGCAAAGTAGCCCAGGACAAACCTGACGAGCTTGGAGACGTGTCCACGCTGGCTGATCCATCTGTTGTCGAAACAATAGTACAACAACACACCGAGGTTATGGAACGAGTTCGAAAGAATCAAAAGTGATTGATAGCTGTCAGTCAACAAGTGACATAAATATATATTTGTACAAATAGGAGTCATTGTTAGCGGGATTGTTTCGAGAAGGCTTAGTCAGAGGAACAAATAATTCAAATAGATAGCGGGACTTCTACCTCTTTCTCCCATGCGTCTAATGTACACTGCATGTCTCTAAGGAAGTCGACCTTCTTTTGATGGGGAGTTCTAAACAAGAAATAATGTAGGGATCGGGACGATTGATGGCTTGCAGAAAATGTTTTACGGTTGGTTTTGTATCAATCATTAGTTCAACGCACTTGTACTATGAAACACAATCAAAGAAGTAGTAACTTTTAATTTTTATTTACTGACTACAATTGTATGTAATAGTAGATATMATTGAACCARAACAATTCWTRAAAACAAAAGGTAATACACAAGAGACTTGGAAACTACACAACCTGAACGTGATATCTACCATTAGTCAGTGAATAGATATTAATAGTTACCGTTGACTCCAAGAGACCGGCCTGTTCAAATCATGCTAAAAAGTATTAAAGTATTTTTWTTCAAAATATCTTATGTTAATTGACTGTGTTGTGCTGGTCAAACGTTTTTAAACGGTTTCTTTATTATTTTATACATTCTTCGTGATTCCTGTTCAAGTGTCTGTCACTCATGTAAGGTAATACGAAACTAGGCAGGRTTGGTTCGGATTCTCCTGTGTCCGATGGATTTTTTATCGTCGAATCCAAAATTCTTCTTGGTCGCGTTTTTGTGAATTTACGCCYAGTAGATTATGAAGTCAAGTCAGTGAGGTATAGAACCAAAGATTGGATTATAATACATAGTCTATCAAGAATTTGTGGAAGGATTTGAAAGTTTGTGTTATTTAATGGTAATTATTATAAATACGCAGTCCCCATTACTCTTGGCCAACTCCCACGTAATCTGAACCACCGTTGGGCTTGGAAGGTCTGWAAGTCAATAGATCGTCACATGAAAAACACGTTAAACTAAAAACACCTGATAGTTGGGGTTTAAACGATTATTGAATTCGAGGGTTTTCTCTGCTGGTCATCAAATTCCCTACACACATATGTGCTGTTACTCTGCGTAATTTTCTCAGTGRCTTGTCAACGTCATTAGCAGGCAAGCATTGCACAAKGCTACAGTAACGGGGCTTATCTCAACAAACCCCCTATTTTTATTGTTGCACAAGGTAAAATGCAGGTCTACTATTCGCGGCATACGCATTGCAGAACCTTGCAACCCCATTGCATAATCATCCACAACATTCACGTAAACTGTGTAAGCATCTTTAATCCTGCTTTAAGAAACTCTAGGTTATTGGTTCTAAGCTGCTGGGGAAATTTTGTGAATGCAACAGAGCTGATCAGAAAACGCCCACTTCCCCAAGTCTCCCGGGTCTAGCGGTTTGGTCTCTCTTCGCAGCTTATTAGTAATAGTTGGTAATGAATAATGCCAATTCTTTTGTTTTCTGTGGTTCAGAATCAAACTATTTTAAGCAATTTGGTTAGCACACTTTTATAGTTGCACTATACGGTTTGCTAAGGACAATAGAGTGAGCGCACTTAAACCGTGCAACAGTACAAAATTTTGTAGCTAAAAGTGGACATGAAGCAAGACGATATTGAATGCTTCATTTGTATCAATTCAAGTTAATTTGCGTGCCACATGCACGATTTACTAAATACAACTAAATTGCACTATTTAGTTTGTACAGTTGCACTCTAATATAAATTATCAATGAMGAAATTGTGAATAAATCATGTGAGTGAACGTACGCAATCTTGTGAAACTGAATTCAAAATAGAACTAAATTATGCTAATTCCTTTGTTTTCTATAGTCTATAATTAACACTATTTCGTWTAGTAATCAGGAATATTTGTTTCACGGATTTAGTGCGTCCTCTATAGCATGATTTTTTTTAACATTTATCTTGTCAAGAGTTTACCTCCAAAAGTGAATGAAAACAGCAGTGAAAATTGCCTGAAAAAATAAGAACATTGATTTGAATACGATTGTTATTTTCGGCGTTTACGTACGTACTTCCGCAACGTAAATGATTCAATTTTGATCAAAGAGATCGCCCACGAACGATAGCTTTTCTACGAATTAAAGTAAGAAAGAAAATATAAAGATTGGTTTTGTATGTCGAATAATCTGGAAGCAATGTTGTAACAGGGTCTGAATGGGGGGGTCCCGATATCAGTTAACAGCTAAATTTTGGCAATTTTCTCAGTTATCAGTTAAATTTCTCGGATCTAAGTTAAGTCACATGTTTATTATTATTTTTGTGTAATAATCAACAACTAAATATCCAGTTATTAAGAAAAGTACGTTTTACCAGTGTTCTTTCAGGCTAAGAAAATTCCCCAAATGGTTCTTCAGCTTTAATACTGAGCTTTGAACACTGTAGTCAATATTGGAAATCCAATAACTCTCAAAGTGTACCTCCTCCCCTTTTCTATAGTAGCAAGCTAATACTTTCACCCTTCATAACGATGATAGATGGATTTGATCAAGTCAACTTTTTAAAATGCATCAGTAGTTATATAAAGCCGTGACATAAAGTTGATATCACACGTGATAGCCAGACAGGGACCGCGCCGGGAGCGGTTGATTATGTGGGAGGCTGATGAGCGCCGAAAGCGCGACTTTTTAGGGGTGTACGGGGGCATTCCCCCCAGAAAATGTTGGATTTTCAATCCTCGGAAATGCGATTTCCAGCATTTTGAGCGAATCGAGAAGACACAAAATGCATTAATTTTATGGAAATTTTGCGTGACTTAACAACGAAAAAAGGTATTTTTGATCGTTCGCATGAGCCGGGTGTGACCGGCCGATGACAGGGCTATCTCTGTCCGCCATTTTTGAAAAAAAAAACAACAACAACAACAGAGAAGCCCTGGGAACAAGGTTCACCTACGTGCAAAACATGTGCACAAACAAAGGAATATCAGCTAACAGTTATCTTGTTAATATCAGTTATCAACTAAATAAAGCCGAAATTATTATTTTAGCCGTTTCTCAGTTAACAGTTAACCCCATTCAGACCCTGTTGTAAAGCATATTGTTATAAATAGCTATTCATTTACCTGGAAAAATGAAACTATGCCAAAAATCTGTAAGAAACCAATAAAAAAATCGATGAGAAAAGTCTCTGAGTGCTCAAGATAGAGTAGACGAAGTTATGAAGGACTTTATTACCAATACGATCGCCATCTTAAATGTGTTTATATGTTGAATACATAACCACAGACGTATCCCGATAAAGCCTCTATTTCAGGGGAAGAAGATTTATTGACAGGAGACATGGCGATGTTTTGGACACAATTACTGTAGTGATCGAGTTTTTAAAACAACCACCAAMTCTGCAATCGTCTTCCAACACTTTAAAAAGGTAAGGGAGGTTGTAATAATACAATCATAGACGGTGTTTCACGCACAATTTTGCAAAAGATTGTATCCCGCAAGGCATGCAGGGATACAGGCTTTAGTTTTTCTAGTCCATTATTGGAGTATCATTTTGTTTTGTTTTGTGATGAAATAATGTAACGACAATAAAAATAAAAGCATAGAGCAAMAAACAAATGTCAGAATTCATGACTTGGCCATCTGTCAAAGTTGTTACATACCGCAGCGCACCAATTAAATCCAATCCAGCCTATGACAATTCCACCAATAGCAGGACCTGTGAATGACCTAACAAACAAARCCATGTTAKGATGCAATGACCGTGCCTTGGAGGGGGTGGGSGAGGGAGATCTTACCCTAGGTTACAAGCTGCAGTTATAATACCAGATATAACACCATTGGTCGACATGTCATCAGGCATACCAGCGTCCCTACAGTAAATAACAACACAAATTACAATACMATACACGTCTACATCATGTCACTCATAATTACCTGGCATACATGGACATTACAGTTACYGCTGGGGGTATGGTAAGGGCAGCCGAGCCTCCATTGATTGCCATGGCAACACAAACAAGCCAGATTTTCCTGATAGAAAACAAAGTTAGCTCATGGACGCACAATCCTGTCAATCAATCAGCCAAACAGATGTATAAATCAATCAATCAATCATCATTTCGGTGTATACTTACTTGTTTGGTAGTATGGATGTGAGAAAAGGTGCAGGTCCAATCATCTCAAGGGAAATTCCTCCAACGATCAAACCGCTGACCATAAGTATTTCAGTACATCGCTGTAGTTATAATATAATTGGTATGTAATCACCACAATTATAATAGTAAATGTTGTTCATACGTACCGTGTGTATTGTTCATACGTACAGTGTGTATTGTCCATACGTACCGTGTGTATTGCTCATACGTACCGTGTGCATTGTTCATACGTACCGTGTGTATTGTTCATACGTACCGTGTGTATTGTCCATACGTACCGTGTGTATTGTTCATACGTACCGTGTGTATTGTTACGTACCGTGTGCATTGTTCATACGTACCGTGTG